GGTGTAAATTCTGGTCATTTTGGGGGTCGAAGGGGCAATTTATGGGGCACAAATACCCCGGGAGGGGCAATTACCCCCCCCTTTTGTGGGGGGCTGGACCCCCCAAAGGGTGACAACACCCCCCCCTCCCATGGGCTAATTAATTACCCCCCTGTGGTCGTTAATGAATTAATTACCCCCCCAAATTCAAATTTACTCCGAAATTCACCCCCTGAGGGTCAAAAAGCTGCTCCCCCCCACCCCGGGTCCAGACCTGCCTCTCAGGGGGGGGCATCTCCCCCCACCACCCCCCCCCCAGACCCCAAATCTCCCCCCAACCCCCCCTTTGCCGCCGCCCCTCCCCCCACAGTCGCCGCCGCCGCCAAGGGGGGGTTTTTTGGGGAGGGGGGGGAGGGGAGGGGGTGTAAATTTTGGGGAGGGGGGGGGGTCTGCGCCGAACGCTGTTTTCTGTGAAAACTTGGCCTGGGGGAGGGGCCCCCCCCCGGAAAAAAGCCCCTCCCCCTTTTGTATATTTTGTACATTAATAATAAACTTGTTGGAAAAAAAAAACAAAACAAAACCAAAAAAAACGACCCCGGAACGGGGGATTGTGGGGTGTGTTTGTTTGTTTGTTTGTGGGGATTTGAGGGGGGAAACTTTGGGGATCTACGGGAGGGAATGGTGGGAGGGACCCACTGTGGGGGGGCCTTGGAATTTTAGGGGAATTTTGAAGATTTTTTAGGGAATTTTGGGGGACCCAAAAGTAGGGATTGGGGGGGAGGGGAGGGGGGATTTATTGAGGGAAATTTGGGATCCCCTGAAGGAAATTTGGAGATCTCCCCTCTAAAGGGAATTCCTGCATCTCCTGAGGGAAATTTGGGATCCCCTGAAGGAAATTTAGAAATATCCCCTCTGAGGGAATTCCTGCATCTCCTGAGGGAAATTTGGGATCCCCTGAAGGAAATTTAGAAATATCCCCTCTGAGGGAATTTCTGCATTTCCTGAGGGAAATTTGGGGATCTCCTGAAGGAAATTTGGAGATCTCCCCTCTGAGGGAATTTCTGCATCTCCTGAGGAAAATTTGGGATCCCCTGAGGGAAATTTGGGGATCTCCCTTCTGAGGGAATTTCTGCATCTCCTGAGGGAAATTTGGGATCCCCTGAAGGAAATTTGGAGATCTCCCCTCTGAGGGAATTTCTGCATCTCCTGAGGGAAATTTGGGATCCCCTGAAGGAAATTTAGAAATATCCCCTCTGAGGGAATTTCTGCATCTCCTGAGGGAAATTTTGCACCTCCTGAGGGAAATTTGGGGATCTCCCGAGGGAGGGAACTTTGGGGCAATAAGGGGAGGGAGGGAATTCCGGGACCCACGAAATTTCTGGGATTTTGAGAGGGCTGTACCGGGGACGTTCCCAAAACACTTCCACCACATCCCGGCGTTGCTCCAGCGCCCTTTTTATTCCCGAGAAAGGTCCTGCAGGGCCCTTTAGATCCCAGGGAAGGTCCGGCAGGACCTTCCCTGGGATCTAAAGGGTCCTGCAGGACCCCCCGCCCGCCACGAGCCCCCCTCACTCGCGGGGCCGGTGCACCACGACCTCTCCCAGCGCCTCCAGCACCTCCCTCTTGTAGTCGTCGAAGTCGCCGTCGATCTGGCTCAGCCCTTGCTCCTCCACCACCCACAGCTGGCAGTTGGTCTCGGTGATCAGCCGGGCGTCGTGGCTCACCACGATCACCGCTGTGACGTCACGGTGACGTCACGGCGACGTCATGGCCTCACGAGCCAAGCCACGCCCCCCCCCCGTATCCCCGCCCACAGCCCCGGCGCTTGGTGATGACATCATCATCATCACCCATGTGATGTCATCAGTGACATCATCGTGATGTCACAACGCCCCTCCCACCCCCAAAATCTCTGACTCACCCCCCTTGTAGTCGTTGATGGCGTCGGCCAAGGCGTCGATGGACTCGATGTCCAGGTTGTTGGTGGGCTCGTCCTGAAGGGGGAAGGAAAAGAAATTTGGGATCCAAGGGAGCCTTGGCCACACCCCCAGGCCGCATTAGCCACGCCCCCAGCCCCATCAGCCACGCCCCCCCACTCACCAGGATGAGCACGTCGGGCTCCCGACAGGCCAGCTCGGCGAAGACCACCCGGGCCTTCTGCCCGCCTGGGGGGAAGGAGGGGCTTAGATTGGGAAGCCACGCCCACCCCTTGATACGCATCCACCCCCATTCCCCTCTAACCCCACCCCTTTAACGCAATCCTTTATCAAACCACGCCCCCTTTTAC